AAGAAAAAGCGCCAAGTCACATGTTTTGAAATGATAGAACGTGGGGTCTCATTCCTTGCTTTTCTTCCTCACTGTAGTCTTTCTGTGCACTCACAGGTACTTTTCATTTATCTATTTATACCTTCCACTGATCCACTGAGTTTTTTACTTCCATTCAGCATGAGTGTTTATTCTGTTAGTTCTTTAGAAAATGAAAGTGTGTGTGTGTGTGTGTGTGTGTGTGTGTAAGGTCACCATGGGGGAAAAAGATTAATACAAAGAACATGAACTAAATCTGAATTATCAATGTCATTCTGGTTAATCTTTAACAATCAACATTTTAGGAAAATTAAAACAATTAGAGAAAAATTCCTTATTCTGAATGTTTTGATTTGTGTGGTTAATTCTTCTTGAGTGCCTTTCTGCTTCTAGGTCTTAACTAATGTCTCAAGACACTTTTTGCTGCAAGGCTGCACCAAAGACTACTTTTCTCCTGGCTCCTTTATCTCCTCTAATGGCTCTTTATCTCTGAAGAGATCTCATGAATTTCTTCCTGTGAGACAGTGAATCTAAGAGCATCTTCCCTTCCCTACCTTGCTGGGTTACTCTCTCCATTCTCTATAAGCACATAAGGTTTTGGGTAGAATAGTTCTCTACTCCATACTGTGTTGCAGTCTCCTCCTCAGCTGTTTTTCTCATTATACTCTGACTAAAAAAAGCCATGTCTACATCTATAAGCTGAAAAGACTAGAGCAGCCCCAGAGGCTTAGAGAGGAGATGCTAAGTATCAGTTGAGAAAAGTTGGTCCTACATGGGCCAGTTCTCTCTCCAGTCCGTCTTCTCGTTCATATGTCTTCCCAGGTTCTGCTTTTTCTAGAATTTTCCATTCCTTGTGCAATATAATTACGAGGTAGGTGTCAGTCTCCATTAAAGAATATATTCTCATCTTTTTTAATTTCAGCAACATTTACAGTGTAAAAGACATTTGCTTAGTATCTCTTATTAGTGTATTTGTGTGTATGTGCATACATGTGTGTGTATACATGTGTGCATACAGGTGTATGCATGCCTTATATGTATTTACTCCTGAAGGCCAGAGATCAATGTTAGGTATTCTCAACTGACATCTACCTTATTTGGGGCATTAGGGTCCTTTGCTGAACTTGGAGCCCACCTATTTGGTGAGACTGGCTAACCAGAAAGCCCTAGGACTGGTCTGCTTCCTTGTGCATTGTTAAAATTACAGACACGTGCCACCATGCCTAGCCTTTTTTAAAAAAATATGGATGCTGAGGAACTTATGTCTGATTCTTGTGTGTCAAACACTTTAGGCCACTCTCTGTCCTTGTTCTTATGTCCATTGGGTTTATCAAGGCTCAAGGGCCTTGGCTTACACTTTCATGTTGCATAGATCACCTGGTATTTACCTTATTAACAAAGGATGATAGGGTGGTCTCCAAAGTATTCCAGTCGACCTTGAACTCCCCAAACACTGCAATTCTGTGCCAATATATGCATGTGACTACATATTCCTTCTATATTTTTTCTTTCATAAATAGACTCCTTTTCTGTTTGCCAGCACAGTACTCATCTTCATGTACAGTTTCTCTGTCTGTCCATTTTCCTTTCCTTATCTTTTCTAGCAGCATTTTAGACATTGCAGACAATTATTCATCAGTGCAAGTCATTAGTGTGGACAAGTACTTGCTGATGACTGGCAACATATTGAGCCTATTCCAACCTGAATTCAGACTCTGAGAATGGAATCTGGGTGTTCCCAAACTCAGCATTTTTTTATACTCAAGTTCCCTGACCTGTGCCAATGCGGGAGGATTGTCTGCTAGTGATTGATTGCAGAAGCATCGTAGCATAATGATAATTGGAGGCCAGTGGCTAATTGAGGCTATTTCATAGAGGGTGTATGCTTTAATGAGTGTAGTTTCTTTTGTTTAATGTTAATCACTCTTAATCCATTTACACAAAAGAAACTATAGTTAACACAACTGTAAAGAGAGAACTGTGTTCTTAATGTTAGCTCTTCTAAAATAATTCTCAGGTTACTACATGCTTTTTCTTTTTCCATCCTACAACTATTCTATACATTATTTTGGTCATACCTTTAATGTGTATTATTACTGTATCTGTCAGTGAAATGACTTCATTTACCTTATTAATGAGAATAGAAATAGAACTGCATAAAATATTTCTTTCTAGTGAATGTTTTGCTATACTATGATACTACTATGAATATTAAAAATCTTAAGTGTTTGTCAGTTTTAATTGAAATTCACCAAGAGAGTACAGAATTTAGAAATCTTAGCTCATCAAGTACTCCAGCATCCATTTCTGAATATGTTTATCTTACAGGAGTTAATTTAAAACATTGCAAATATAACATTCCTTCTAGCTTAAGAAATAATTGTAACTCCACCCAAAAGATGTATGTATAAGGATGGCTTTTATAATGTGTATACATTAGAAATGAAGGAAATGTAGGGTTGAACTCATAGAGTCAACCCTTCTCAATTGGTATAGAAACGAACCCTTGTATGAGTAAAGCAATCAAAAGTAAAAATTATGTTTATTAAAAAAACCCACAAAGAAATGACATAAATGCTCAGTTAAATCAATTGTGATGCATTCATGTGAACAAAGTTTTGTTTTTCTTGATCCAATTTGAATTAAGTGTGTGCTAAATCGAGGGGCCTAAATTACCTTTAGATAGTGCTGACATTTCTTTTCTTAGGGTTGACAACAGTTTTGGTAATAAACATGAATGGTCAATTTATATATAATTAAGTAGCAATCTCTGTAAGAACCCTTAAGAGATCATTCCTAGTAATTTTTCATAAATAATTTATCTTTAAATTTTAATAACCTTTTACTCAGATAATTTCCAAGTTCAATATAATTGAAGGCTTTTTCTGTCTAGGCTACGAGAATATTTTCTCATGTTCAAAGGTCATCACTGAATGATGTGCTGCTTAGTATAGGCAGTAAAGTTATAATTAAAAATAGGTCTTAAAAGTTCAACTCTGAAGGTCAGAAGAGAAAACACTGATCAGAGGAAACAGCAGATAATGAGTGTATTTTTGTTGTTGTTTGTCAAATGACACAGACTAGGGAGGTTGTTTCTAACATAAGAATTCTCCATTCCAGGGCTTGGCTCCCTCCCCCCAAATGTATTTGACACTAAGTAGTTTCTTATAGCTTTATGCAGTATTCCCTACAAGCCTAGTCTCTTAGAATAAATGGGGTCACCTGATAGAGTCCTTAGTGTTGTTGAAAAATAACAGTTTCAGGATTTTGAATTTTCATCTTAAGTAGCTCTTCCTATAAATTGGCCACATGTGAGGCTTTCTCACATGACTGTAAGTTTGTGGTAAATGAGAGATTACGAAGTATTTACATACACATTCTTCTCCTTTGTCCGTGAACTATGAACTTAAGATCTGTTAGTCACTTTGTTCTTAAGCCCTAAGATCTTTAATATCTGCCACAGTGTTCTTTTCTTACCCTTTAAGCTTTTATGGAGTCTAGAAAGTGTACTTAGTTGTAGTTCTTTTTTCTCCTTGAATGCTATTCCATCTTGGCAGGACATAAAACCTAGTATGTGACTCTTTCAGAGGTGGAGGTGAACCTCCACCTTTCCAGAGCTGAGATTATTCACCTGCACCACCATGCCTAGTTTATGTGGTGCTGGGGACGGAACCTATGATCTAAGCTGTATCTCTAGCCCACTTCTGCACATTTTGTTCATGAACACAGGGATAATTTTTACTTTCTCAAGGTTCCATCATTTACTAAAATGAGTCCTTGTTGGTCTATTGGGAGCAATGGCTTAAATGTCTGCTATGCCTCTATTCATAGCAATGGCCTAGCAAATATGAATTTACCTAACATTCCACCCATATACCTAACACTTAATACTTGACAGTATTTAACATCCTCCCCCAACTTCTATCACTGCCATTAAATGCAACAGATATGAACATACTGAATTAAAACAGAACAAAAGATGCTAAGGTTTCCACTGCAAAATTCAGTGGTGTTTACAAAACCTGAACGCTATGATATCTTTACACCAGTACTCTAGGGCAGCTTCCATATTACTTGTAATGCACAACTACTTAGGATGAATGGAATGATTTCAATGTGAGTAGTCTAGTCGATTTTTTGTTGTCTGGCACAGGGAGGGGATAACAATACATGAAGAAAGTTTCCGATGTAACAAAAACAAAACTATAAGTGAACTATGTCCTTGTTACTTTATTTTTTAATGAGGTTGATATACTTTGGATATCCCTTGAGATGTCTAGAGGACTGACTCCTAGGAGACAGAAAATAATAGAGGCAGACACAATGCACCCGTCACAATGTACCTGTGCCATCGGCTGGAATGTCGTCTCTCTCCAAAGTTGTAGTGCGTTACGGCTTAGGCTATACCTGAGTGCTTTGATGAGGAGATAACTCCAGATGGAAGTGATTGCACAAGCTTCTGTCCCCTGATTTGCCAATGTGCCTGACCAGAAATTCCTTTTTCTTTTCTTGGCATGGGGTTTATGCACAATTCCTGTTTGCACCCGGGGGGCAAGGCAGGTTATTAAGGCCAAGAAGGAGGGAAGGCTGTGGGAGGACATAATAACTGGGAGGACTTCACAGCCTCTACCTGGGGGTAAAGGGAGGAGGGCTGAGCATGGAGGGTGTTGTCTTTTACTTCTGACTATGTGTTAAGTGGCAGGAGAACTTTTGAAAGCTGCTTTGAGGAGGAGCCAGTGGCTGGGCATGGAGTGTTCTGGGCCTCGCTCTCCCCACTTGTAGGAAAGTCTCTCTCCATGCACAGGTAATTGGACAGGAAGGAGAACGGCTGGCCAGGGAAGAAAGCCATTCTGTTGCTCCTCCTTCTGTTGCTTATCACTTGCATCCTGATTCTCTTCCAAAGCCATCCCAGCTGTGCCAACTTGGCTGCAGAGTATCTTGACAATTGCCAGCATCTGCTTAGCCTCCCTGTGCACTCCAGGCCCGTCTACTAGCTGCTCACCATCCCTGGCCATTGGGACCGCTTCAGATGGCTGTGGCCTGTGCTGCCCCAGGGAGCACCTTCTCAAAGCAGCTCCTTTTCTTTCTCCTGGTGAGTAACAACCAAAGGACTAGGGAACTAGTCTCACCTGCTTCTTCCTGCCTGTTTGTCTTTAAAAAGACTTTTGGTACGAATGGAAGGCGGTGGTGGGAGGATAGTTGGAGGAAAATAAAACCTGATTTGAGAACAATTTAGAGCTGAGGGCCTTGTGATCCAGGATGGGGAGGGATAAACTTACTCTGCAAGCTCCCATGTATGCGTGGTAATGTCTTTCAAGGGAATCCCTCATTCAGTTTGGCTGTGAAATTTTTTTTTTCCTGAGGAGTAATGAAATAACATTTTGGCATTTGGCCCAGAAGGTTCTAAGATTTGCTTTGGCTACTAGGCATTCATAAAGCTTATGCATTTAATGTGCTATTCCATTGAGCAGCAGAAAGAGGAAAGGCGTCTGGGTGAAGATATAAGTTACTCAAGATGTTCTTGGTTCACTCAGAAAGAATGGGAGGACTTTCAATGTGAGGATGCAGTTCGACTCCACAAGAGGAGTGTGACAGTCACCAGACTTGGCATGAAGTTATCTCCTGCCTGGGTTGGAACTGTGAACAGGATGCCATGTTTGCCTTTGGGGAGGGGTGGAGTTTCTCAAATCTCAATTCCAAATTTCTTCATTGTGACTTTCCTGGTTTTTAAATTTAATTTTGTGTTTTACCAAAAATACTTTAGTAATAAATTATATTTTCAGAATCTGGGGATTTTCATGAATGAGCACAAACATTTTTTCTCCACATGAATAATTCATAGTGCACAGTTGATGGTCAACTTTTCATCTTCTCACTACCAGAGACTAGAGCACATAGAGGCCACCTGGAATTAGTGTTGGTTAAGTAAAATGTAGATAACCAGATTTTTCTTACCTTTGGTCCTGGTCCCTCTCCAGCTTATTATCATTTAATTCATCCTGTACTCTTTCATCCTAGAACCTCATACTAACTGTGAAGGTAACAACTCCTTCCAAGTCATTTTAGACCCCAATTTAACTTAGAGACAGAGGGATTACTGATGCTCTGGAAACTTCCATTGTTTCTGTTTACAGAATGTGCATTCCTGCACTGGGGTCCTAAGACAGGAAGGAACTAAAATGATGACAGGGTTGGAAATGTAGATATGCCTTATAAAATATATGTAGACACATTATACACAGAGGTTCATGCACATATGTAGACACATTATACACAGAGGTTCATGCACATATGTGTGTACATACAGTTATGCATCTGTTTCTTTTTCCACACTATGCATGTAGAAAATTACTAACCCAGACTTTATCCTCTGCAAGGCCTGAGGCATGGTCTAGTGCAATTCTTGGCATTACAATGATGGTATTTCTAAGTAGCCAAGTGAATAAGAATGTCTGTTGTTTTCGTAAGTGGTTATTTAAATTACAACTGTATGCAAATATGACCTATAAAATGGCAGATGACCATGTTATAGGCCTAGCAGATTTGTGAAACAAATGTACAACCTATTTTAAGTTGCTATGATGTAGCTAGTAGACTTGAGGTAGAAGGATGTAGCATCTTTAATATGACCATTAATCATTTGGTTTATCCCTATACAAATAACATGTCCCATAACTTTAGAGTGTGGTCTTCGAGAAAAAGTGATCACAAATTGATCTGTATGATTCTGTGAAATCTAGCTGTGCTCTTATTTTTAATTGACATGGAGTTATTTTAATAAAGAAAAAAAGCAAGTGAGTATAAACTGCTGCAAAGAAATAACATTGTTTTGAATTTATAGAATTCTCTGACCTTATAACTCACTTTTAAAAGATAGTTTGTTTGCTCTGGAGTTCTTAGATAAGTTTTAAACCAGTATCTGTGCCTTAAATATAATAAAAATTCGGAGATTTCTGTAAATTTATATCACTTAGCACGCTGGTTTGAAAACACTTAGATTTTGAAGTATTTTTTCCTTTTCTAAGAAATGATTTTCTGATAGTGGAGTGGTTCTAAGTGTCATTTTTATGAGCTTCAAAAATTCTTCTAATAGTTCTCACTTCCTCAACAGCAACCTTTAATAGCAGTAATAAAAAAAGATCAGAGAGTTGGTGTTTCAGTGCTTATAGAATTCTAGAATCCAGTACTATTTCAGGCTAAAGATTTGTGAGGTTTGTGGAGTCTTCGAGGCAATACTCTATCAATTCAATGGATCATAATACATTCTGTTGCAATTATGTAATAATGACGTAGTCCTAAGAACTGTTCATTTAATTATTTCATTGATACTAAATGGCTTCCCAAAGCCAGTTTCCCTGTGCATATCACTTTCTAAATGAATATGGAAAAGTAGATGATTTAAAAAGTTAATTCTAAAACTGATAGTAATTTTATTAATCAGACAAAAATTATAACATGAAAAAATTTAATCAAATATGATATTTTTTTCTTTTTTGAGGTTCTGGTATTATTTTGTGATGCCTGTCAGAAAGTTTCCCTTCAAGTTCCCTCTCATCTTAAGGCTGAAGCACCTGTAGGCAAAGGTGAGCATTGTGTTGGAGAACAGATGTAACTTGCTGAGATTAGCTTTTGGCTGTTCTTGAAAACTTGGGATGAAAGCTATGTAATTGCTACTCTGGATTAAAGCTAGCCATACACTGAAAAGTAGCTTCCGTTTACTCATGGTGGTTGAAAGTAGTCGAAGTATCAGATTTTATTGTGCATCTTTCTTGCTAGAAAAACTAGCAAACATCAGAGAATTTTAAAAATTATCTTAGTTCAAACAAAGCCAAGGCATCAAAACCAGAAGCATATTTTAAGTTATGTCATTTCTTCTGCTGCCAGATTCCCAATGTCAGGTACTTTGCTGATGAAACATTAAAGAAACCTCAAAGTTGAAATGCTTTATCTGTGGTTGGTAGCAATGGATAAATATTTACTGAGAATTTATATGGTGTATGTCACAGAATAGCTTGTGAGAGTCAAATACAATTCCAGTAAAATTTACGACCAGAGCCTTCAAGGTACATTAAACACTGAGTTTATCAAATCTCAAAAAGATTTTATATGAATATTATTTGCATTATTAATAAGAAATATTGCATAAGAATAGACTAGGTTTCTCATCTGTTGCAACATAGCTTTTATCTTACTGCCAAATAAAATTTAACTTAATCTCAAAATCTACTGGCACCGTCTTATGATAAATGTATTATAAAACTATGTAAGTCAACAGTACATTATGAAACAGAAATACACACACACACACACGCACACTCACTCACTCACTCACACTCCTTCCTTCAGATAGTTCTCAATTTCTGTTGGATATCTACCTTCAGATAGCTCTCAATTTCTGTTGGAGTCACCACATTCTCTTAAACTCATTATAAGTTATAAATGTAAGGGAAAAATGCATTCAGTATGCCTGGTTTACCAAGCATTATCTTGGAACAGAGTTTACTGTATAGTTTTGAACATGGTCCCATTCTCTGTTCCAATCCCAGAATCACTAGGAGTAGCTTATAACTCTGACCAGCATCAGGAAGGAGGCTCTTACCACATGTCCTTAGTTTGAGAAAAATATTAGTATGAAAGCCTCAGGCTCCAAGTCAGTTCCTACCACATGCATGTTCCTGTCATACTGTCTTGAAGTTGAACCATTCTAAACTAAGGACCTGTGAAGACAAACCCATGGATACTAGGGAAAGTGGAAGGAATCCAAATACAATAAGATTCAAAATAGTTCATGTCTTAAATTAACTCATGATGAAAGTAATATGAACAGTGTGGATGTAGTTGAGGCTTCTCTTTCTTGGATCAGGTCCTTGTTTCTAGTCTCAGCACTGCTAAAGGAAGAAAGGAAGGGAGGAAGGAAAGAAGGAAAGAAGGAAGGAAGGAAGAAAGAGAGAGAGGAAAGGAGGAAGGGATAGAGGGAGGAAGGGAGGAAAAAAGGAAGGGAGAAAAGAAAAAAGAAAAGAAAGAAAGAAAGAGAAAGAAAGAAAGGAGGAGGGAGGAAGGAATATAGGAAGGAGAAAAGGAAGAAGATGGATGGAGGGAAGGAGGAAGAGAGGGAGAGAGAGAAAAGGGAGGAAGGAAGAGAGAAAGGAAGAGAGGGAGGAAGGGAGGAGGAAGAAAGGAAGGAAGAGAAGGAGGGAGGAAAGGAGGAAGAAAGGAAGAAAGGAAGGAAGAAGGAAGGAGAAAGGAAGGCAAGGAGGGAAGAAAAAAGGGAGGAAAAGAGGAAGGGATGGAGAGAGAAAGGAAGGGAGAAAGGAAAAGAAAGGGGAACCATAATTTCATTAGTTTAATTTTCACAATTCCTACGGTTAGAATAGCAGGTGTTGGGTGTCCTGCCCTCTTTCTGCTCCTCCTATGCACATAGCTGTCATTCCTGTAAGACTCGTTCCCTCCCTGTTTAACCTGATAATTGCTGTGAAATGTCTTCACTGTAGTGAATCTGGAGGACTGTCTCAAATCACCCAGCCTGATCCTGTCCAGTGACCCAGCCTTCAGAATTCTAGAAGATGGCACAATTTATACAACACATGACCTGATTTTGTCTTCTGAAAAGAAGGGGTTCTCCATCTTGCTCTCAGACAGTCAAGGGCAGGAGCAAAAAGAGCTAGAAATTGTACTGTCAACAAGAGATAAAAAGGTAAAACATGTTAGGACAGGATGTCCCTTCAAGGCCCCTGTTGCACCTGCAAGACTGACTTCATTCTTGAATGATTCTCTTTTCTTTAGTACTCAACATTCTCCTAACTGAGAACCAGACTGTTAAAGAGAGTGGTGTTTACACTGTCTATGTGGTTAGAAGACTAGGGCCAGGGAGCAAAGTACGAATATCAAAAGTTTCAGATAGATCTCAAGGTGTGGTTGGAAGAGGAGCCAACCTGAAGAACAAGAACAAGACAGGGGTGGGTCTCAGGGACCAGTGAAGGAGTCCAAGCAGTGCCACTCCACCCTGTGTCTTCCTTCCAACTGACTGGGTTGGTGGCACTCATCCAAGAGACCTGACTTGACTTAGAAACCTATGTAGGACCCCTGCCTTTAGAGTGGATGTGTGGCCTGGCCAATGATGTTCTGTAGAGGTGTTTGTTCGTCAACTCACTTTCATGTGTTTAAGAGTGATGAGTCCTGGGCATAAAAAGACTGCTAAACTTCACATCTCACTTTAAGTAAACTCAGCATAGTGACTTAGTTGCCTAATACTACTGATTACATTTATAAAGATTCCCCAGACCATGCTTCCTTGAGTTTAAAGTATGCTCCATGATTAGAAAAATTATTCTTTTTATCCAAAGTGTGTGAAAGTTGTTTGAATATGTATGCTCATGTTTTTGTGGAGGTATATAAATGCTTATAGACAGGATTTCAATGGATTTCACCTGTACCATTCTATACAAAATGAAGCTAATTCTTAAATATTTACTAGTTGATCATCTACTGGGGATAAAAGGAGAGTCTACGCTTCTCGAAGATATCAGTTACTAACCAAATTCTGACTGCTAACTGGTTATATCAGAAAACAGGTAGAGCTTGGGAATATAATATAATGTGAGGTCAGTGTGTGTGTATGTATGTATTTACTGAAAAACATAATGTAAATGTTTTGGAGATTATTATGATATTGTCATATATTACTCTTATTTTCCCCATTTTGTGGTGAATGGGGAAAACCAGTTTTAATAATGCTCAGTGATGCTGTATTTCTTCATTTTCCATCAAATGTAGGCCTTTAGGAAGAGGCATACCAAAGAACCAGTGCACAAACGCAGTAAGAGAAGATGGGCTCCTATTCCATGTTCACTGATGGAGAACTCATTGGGTCCATTTCCACAACACATTCAGCAGGTGCATTATATGTTCTTTTATCATATGTGTTAAATACTTTTGCCCTTAAACTTTCCTGTTTAAAAGAAACAATTTTAATGGGCTGGGGTTGTGGACTAGTGGTAGTATGTATGTCCAGCATGCACAAGGTCCAAAGCTCTATCCTCAACATCCAATAAAATACATCAATAAGTAGTATACAATATACTGAATGATAGGTTTAAATTATCAATTGTATCGGCATCATCTATCCATCACAATGAGTAACATATAATGACTCTTCGGAGTTTTTTTTCATCAAAACATTAGCTATTCAAATATTTCATTTATTTATTTGGGGTAGGGGGCACACATGTACCATACAAACATGTGTGTGAGTCAGCAGGCTGCTAGAAACCATTGTTGTTGTTGTTGCTTAGTAAGGCGAGATGTCTCACTGCTACACAGCTAAAATGCATAGCTTTGGAACAGTCTGAGATCTGAAGAGTCAATTGTGCAAGAAGTTGTACTACTTCAATAGTGGTCATACAGTCTTTAATCCCAAATAATTTGAAATTACAGAAAGGGTTTCTGTAGCATGTACAGAAACAGAAGGTGGTAAAGCCACACTGCTCACAGGCTTCAGAGCTACATGGGTAGTAAAACATTAGGGACAAGAGTCTGTGACTTCACACATGGAAGAATGAAGATAAGATTTCATATGGGCAAAAGAACAGAGGAAAGAGAGAAAGTGATTTAAAATAAACTCTCAAAAAGACTAGATTAAGATATTGATCATGTATTTGTTCTTTCTCCAAATTGTTTCTTCTTGTTACAGATCCAATCTGATGCTGCCCAGAATTATACCATCTTTTATTCCATCAGTGGACCTGGAGTGGACAAAGAGCCTTTCAATTTGTTCTACATAGAGAAAGATACCGGGGACATTTATTGTACCCGGAGCATTGACCGTGAACAGTATGACCAATTTATGGTAAGATTACTGAAATATTTATTTAACATTAGGTCTTTATTTTTCATTTTTAATATTTAAACATTGATTTTTAAAGAATAAATACTGTGTCAAATAATTTATTTACACATATAATATTACTAATGTTCAATATAAAATGGTGCCTGGCTGCAAAGAGACAGCATGTTTAACAAGGGAAGCAAATGGGTAGAGGACATATAGAAAATATAACGATAAATTTTCAAGCACAGATGCTTATCTACAAAACTCTAGAGAAGTAACTGAGATTTTCATTTGGTTTGAAGTTCTTTACAATAAAATACTTCCATTATTGGCAGCCAAGTTTTTATGTTGTAAAACATGTAAGATCTAAAAATCAAGATAAGTAAAACTGCCACTTGAGTCCATGCCCAGAAAGTCTGACCTACTTGTACTGAGCTGGGCTGTATCACGCTTGGGATTCTGAATATGCATATGCATAATATGTTGGTTGGTTGGGTCCACCATTTCAGGCCTTGCTTAGTGTGGTGTTACTCCACCCTCTGCCATACACACATCCCTTTTTAAAGAAATTTAACCCTTGAATTGAATTTTGTCTATGCATCTAGAACTTATTCACCAGTCCATCTTATTCTTCTACCTAAAGACAAGTCTACACATCTGTTTAGTGTTCTAATCTTTAACTGGTATACAGGAGAGCCCCATGGCTTAGGAGGATGACATTGAAAGACACTACTTAAGGCCTTACAATTACCAACTCTCTGTAAGTGTAGTTAGTAACAGTGTTCTTTGCTGTTGGAGTTTAACCAAGGGAAATGTCTGTGAAAGAAGTCCAGAGGGGAATCTTAGCAGCTTATCTTCTGAGTTTTGACCCCAACAAGGTACCTGTAAAAGAAGGTAACTTCTGTGAGGAGTGGAGGGCTCCCAAGAAGATGACACATTTAGAGTAGAAAAACCTGTTTGGAGTCAAGCATATTGGACAGGCTTGTCATCATACCAATGCAGAGGGGAGGCCAAGACAGGAAGATTGTGAATCTAAGGCCAGCATGGGGTATTGAGTAAGAGTCTATCAAAATGGCAAGAGAAAAACAAAAAGAAAAAAAAAGGGGGGAGATGGGAGGTAAAGGGAGAGGAGAGAGGAGGGGGAGGGAAGAAGGATGGGAAGATAAATCAACTACAACAAATTCTGACCTGAATGTTACTCAACACTTAGAATATGAAATACAAGGGAAGAAAAACAAGAGCAGAGGGTCCTTGGTAAAAAATGAATAAGGAGGAGACAAGTCTTTGTTGTAGAATATCTGTAGAAGAACTCATTAAGGTAGCACAAGTTTTAAAACAACATACAATATTTCTGCTGTAGATACTTTATAACTGAGGACAAAGGTGGATTTGTTGTGACACTTTCTGTATTTTATGATTCTTTCAAAGTTCTTTAGATTAAACATATTTTGCTTTTACCAATATAAAAAAAAGTATTTTTAAGAATGTTTATTGAAGCTGTATGAGAGAGAAACCAGACTTCATTGTAACCATTTTATTTTTAGTTTTTGAAGTGCTGGAAGCAGATTCCAATGGGCATTGGCCATAGTTGGCGAGCAAGCACTCTGTTGCAAAGCTATCTTTAACCCAGTATGGTTGTCATTTTCATCTCTACTTTTTTCGGTCCTGGCGATTAAACACAGGGTCTACCTACATAAGCTAAACGTGTAAACTATACCCAGTCCTGGTGATTAAACACAGGGTCTTACCTATATAAGCTAAACGTGTATCCTATACCCAGTCCTACTGCAACCACATTTACTGTTCTATCTACAAACAAGTGAAAGTTGTGAGTGAGAAATATAGGACATTTACTGATTAGATAATGCCCTCGCCAGAAGCAGGGCAGTTACTGAGAATGTACTCTGCCTAGACATAAGAAGCTATCTGCTGTGCATGGTGCTGGATCTACTTCATTGAATATCTATCAGAGTTCTGATAAGAGCTGGTTTTCAACCTTTTGTTTTTCTTTGTTTCTTACTATTAATACTGTCAGAGGGAGGGGAGAGAATCATTAAAACAAATGTCTTTGACATTAAGTTTTATTATCATTTGACACTTTCATACATTCACACAATGAATTTTAGGCAATATCTTTTTTTTTTCATCCCAAGCTCTATTCCTCCTGGAGCCATCTTCTCAGCCACACCCGCCTTTCCTCTGAGTCACCTTTCTGTGTATGGCCATGGAATTACTTTCTTGTTGTACACTTTGGTAGTTTTATAATTTTTATGATGGATAAATAATTTGGAATCTATATTCAATTAGAATTTGGGCAATTTTACCTTAAATATTTTCCTGTTTCTCTAATGTTTAGGTCTAAATTGGCATTCAGAAATGCCACTTGTAAAATATAGGTTTTAAAATAGAATTTTATAAGTGAAGTATTGCAAGAAGATGTAAACACAATGTAAGCTATAAAATCACTAGAAGCAGGATAGAATAGATTTCTTTGTCAAAGGAAAAGTTTTAATTAATATGTTTAAAAGTATATATCAACATTTTAAACAATCCATTTAATTATTTTTAACTTATGATAAAAGACTGTATAAATCTATTTGTTCTTTTCTCTCTTGTTTATTTAAAAATTATACAATATATTCTTTACCTTCATAACGCCTCTAAAAACTCCACTCATTTTCCTACCTATACAGTTACATCTGCCTATCTCAAAAACCCACAATAAAATAAAAAATAAAAGATCAAAACAGACAGACAGACAAAACCCAGTAAGACAGAAGTTATCAAAACAGAACAAAAACTCACATAAGAAGGCATGGACTTTGTTTGTGTTGGCCAACTGCTCTTGAGCATGGGGTCTTCTCTGAAGTTTGGTTTATACACCCAGTGATGCTCCATTGGAATAAGACTTTCTCCTTTTCTTGCAGGTATCAATTGCAAATAGTTTCTCTATTAGGGATAGTATTTTGTGTTCATGTTTCCTTCTCAGAGCTAGGATTTTATCTGGTTTGAACCTATGTAGGCCCTGTGCTTGTTTTCAGAGTCTCTATGAGTTCGGATGAGCATCAGTCCTGTTGTGTCTGGAAGATACCATTTCCTTGGAGTCATCCAGCACCTCTGGTTCATGTGATCTTTTCAAACAATTCATTTCTTCAAGATATAGTCTATGGCTTGTTCCTCCAGTACATCTTAAGTATCTGTCACTGTTCCTTGTAACTTGGTGAGGTACAGCCTCTAAGAAACTGTTTTCTTGGTTTATCAGCTGCTAATATCTATCCTACCTATCATATAGGTATTCTAATGTTGAATTGACAATATCACATGCGAACAGGAGAACTCCTTAGAGACATACAATATACATATTCCAGAATTTTGTAGTAGGGGTTTTGATGCAATTGCTTGATCATTTACCTTTGTTTAATTTATATAAATGTGAGATTCTAATAATAAATTGCTGTTTAAAATAATTTCATTTAACCAACTATTCCTCTAGAAAAATTGAAAAGGGAAAGGCTATGACAATAACAGGCCCATGGCCTTGAAAAAGCATTCTTTATACATGACTAATATTATTGTCATCATACTAGGATTTCAATGCATTATATTGCTTTTATTATATAGGACAATGACATCTAGTCAGTGCATTAAAAAATTACTTTAGGTTTTTAAGTGCTGCTATAAGGACCAATTAAGAAAACATCTATATTTAGTTCCTCTATCATATGAGCATGAGCAAATTCTGAAGGGTCAAGGACAACCTTCAGTGTTAGACTCTAGTTTCAATTTTCCTGTTTGAAACAATTTCAGTTAGAATTTCTTTGCTGGGATTCTAGACTCATTACTAGTGAAAACTGAAATCATTATAGTATGCGACACACTAGCACTGAGTCCAAATTAATGGTTGTAAAAGCATCCCAGTATGTACTTAACTCTCAAGAGATGAGATGATTACTTGAAGCTACAAGTGCTTCCTACATGGTAGGAAAGATGGTTTCCAATGAAAGAGTGAATAGGCAGGAGCCACTGTAAGCAATGGCAAAATGGACGGAGGTAAGGACCAGGTGTAATCCTTTGTGACAACATAGACCAATCAATACGGGGACTCAAAGAAATGGGGTCGTTTGCCTTCCTAAGAGGGAAAATGATGATTTAATAGAAATAAAACTTTAGTTAACATCTTATCCACTATAAGGTGCTGTGCTACTGTGTTAGGTGTTGCAGGAAAATACCTGTGACTCTGCAGCTTCATGTCTGATGAGAGTTGTAATCTATTAGACAATTTTCTGCTTTCATCTAGTCTTAAGTTTCAAAACCAGAGTTTTGAGAAAAATGCATACAGCCTAGGGGGAGAAGAGAGGAGCTGATGGAAGACGAAATAGTGTAATATTTGAATATTCTAGATATGGTGGTGAGGATGTAGTGTGATGATAGGGGTGGTAATGGTGGTGATGATGGTGATGGTGGTGATGATGGTGATGGTGACAGTGGTGGTAGTGATGGTGATACATCCTGAGAGTTATGGTGGTGATGATGGTAGTCTTAGTTAGAGTTATTGGCATGAAGATTCAGCATGACCAAGGCAACTTATCAAAGAAGCATTTAACTGGGGGCTTGCTGACAGTTTCAGAAGATTAGTCCATAATAATCATGGTGGAAGGTATGGTCATAGGCAGGCAAGCAAGGCACTGAAGCAACAGCTGAGAGCTCACATCTGTTCTGGAAGTTGCAGGCAGAGTAAGAGGGAGACTGGGCTTGGGATGGGCTTTTGTAACCTCAAAGCCCACACACAAAGACACACTTTCTCAATGGAACCACACATACTAATCCTTCCTAACTGTCCACAAATCAGGACCAAACATTTATATGTATGAGTCTATAGGGGCCATTCTCATTTAAACCTCCACAGTGGTGATGATGGGGATGGTGGGGATGTTAGTTAGGATGGTGGGATTAGGTTAGGGGGTTAGTTAGGATGTAATTCAACAACTACTTTCTGAACACCCATTATGCACCAAAATACAAAAATAACTGGGTAGAATTTATATGGAAAACAAATCCAAACCTTAAATCCTGTTGGCTGGGATTAAGATGCAGCCTGTTGTTAAGGATACGAATATACTTTTATTAGCATTTTATAATAAATGTATGTTTGGAATATATAAAAATAAGAAAATACAGGCAGAGATATCACCCAGAATTAATTGTGATATACATGTATATTAAAATTGAAACACGATTATAAGTTTTGCTAGTAGTTGTTAAGAACATAGCTACCTGTGGGTTTACCTGTGTTCTAACAAGTTACAAACCACAGCTACTTCTGAGAGCTCTTGGAGCTCATGGAACTGAGAGCACATGGGACTTTGGTAGGAGAATAATGAGAAATAACTTTTCAAGGGGGTGAAAGGTACAGGGTACACATACTGGCTATGCATTCTGTGCATTGCATCATTTCATAGCTGCACATACTTGTGCATGTTTTTAAACAATACCTCTGCCTTACTCCTGGGCTTCCTTTTGTGCATGGTTTGTCATGTAACAAGCAGTTGGTGATGGTTCCTCCCTTCCAGGTGTATGGATATGCAACCACTGCTGATGGTTATGCCCCAGACTACCCTCTTCCCCTGCTGTTTAAAGTTGAAGATGACAATGACAATGCCCCATATTTTGAAACCAAATTGACTGTTTTTAGCGTGCCTGAAAATTGCCGATCTGGTGAGTTCACATTAAGAAAACAACATTCATTAACACATTCGAGCGTGAGTGTGTGCATGCATGTGTGTGTGTGTGTGCACACGTGCATACATGTGTGCACATGTCTGTGTGTGTATGAACCTCTCTAGGTTCTCTCCTTGCACTATGGATGTGGGGTCTTGAGCTCAGTCATCAGGCTCATCTTGCTGGCCTGTTTCATCTTGCTGGCCTGACATTTTACAGTAGTATATTAACAAGATCATTTATACTTCAAAAGTACTGCATGGTAAAATGATTGTCAGGCATGGTGGCACAAACCTTAAATCTCAGCACTCAGAAGGTAGGGATCAGTGATGTCTGGATATTCAGGGCCAACCTGGACTTCATAATGGCAGCTCTGGCTACATAGAGAAACACCTTCTCAGTAAAAGTTTAATTTTATAATTTCACTTTATGTTTTCTTCTTAGTGCTTTGGATTACATATACCTTTTGTTTTCCTACTAGATTTTTTTTTCTATTAAGGCTCAAATTGTTTTGAGCTAATTTTTTTAAATTTAATTTTGTACTTGATATAAGTTCATATTCTTTTCATATCATGACCAGGATTCTGGTAATCTTTATTTGAATCAGTTCTCTCTAGGGTTAGAATTCAGAGTTTGGTAGTTTGATATCTTAGCAATATTATAGTGCAGAAATAATAGCTGGGTTTTCATTCAGTTGGGACAATTCTAGAAGAAGAGATTTAGCTGTGAATTCAGAGAGAATATATGAAGCCAAGATCCCCTAGGTCTGTGGAAGAACAGAAAACTGTCCAGTGTTTAAAACACTTGTAAGAAGTGTTAGTTACTGTGGACTTCTGCATTCTGTTGCTGGGTCCATATGCAGATATGATGTAGCCCTCTTAGAAGTATCTTTAGAACCTCATGTCCTGTTTAGGAATATCCTCTGATTACTGTATCTCATTTAATTCCTTTAATCACATTTAATTCTATATTAACAACTGCTTGCATCTAAGAATGCTTCAGCACATTTATTATTAAAGTGAAAAATTCAATGTCTTTGCTATAAAAAGACATCATATTGAGTTATTCTACAAGAGAGAGTTTTCATTTTAAAAATAATTCATGAACTGTTGTTAAATGCCAATTGTTGACAGGGAGAAAGAATTTTCAGAGTCGCTCTTACCAAAGGTCTTAATTCCTTGTATGTAAAATACAACAAATGCTTTTCACAGTATATACCCAGCTGAAGTTCCAAGGAAGAAGGGCTTGGGAAAAGTTTGTAAGAACATTTATATAATCCTCAGATTATCTGTAAAAAACACTGGTGTGTTTGTGTTGTGTGTGTGTGTCTGTCTGTCAGTCTGTCTGTCTGCGTGTCTGTTGCGTGTGTGCCTGTGTGTGTCTCTGTGTGTGTTTTGACAATCTGCTGCAATAACACCTGTATTTTTTGTTTATAACTCATTATATTACGATTTAAATTTTGACTACATTGGCTTTATCTAAACAGGAACTTCAGTGGGACAAGTGACTGCCATAGACAAGGATGAGCCAGGAACTCTACACACTCGTCTGAAGTACAAAATCTTACAACAAATCCCAGATCACCCAAAGCACTTCGCCATCCACCCAGACACAGGTGTGATCACTACCACCACACCTTTACTGGACAGAGAGGTAATGCATCAGTGCATTAATTCATCAGTCACTGTTTAAGCTGGTAATTACTGCCAGGATGATTACAGTACAGCCAATGTGCTTACTCCCTAAGCTTTCTTCCCAAGCTAAGCCCAGGGACTCTCTGGAGACTTCTTTGCATCTGCAGAGATGCTGAGATAGTACAAGGATAAGACAGGTCTGACCTGCTCTCATTGTGCTGATGTGAGCTCCTGACAACACTGCTTTAATTTGCTTCATTTCTGCTTTTGAAAAAGTAATATCATTACGATGTATGCCATTTGGTAAGTCAATCAGAAAACCAGAAGATTCCCATTTGTTTCCTTCTCCGTGTCTGCACAGGTCTACTGTGGCAGGTTCATTGTCTATTCATAGTTCCCTCTCCTTACCTCAGAGAACCATTCACACACACACACACACACACACACACACACACACACACACATCTATCTATCATGGGAATACTGTAGTGCAGGAATAATGGCTGGATTTTCATTCAGCTTGGAGGATTCTAGAAGAAGGGGTCTAGCTGGGAATTCAGAGAGGATATGTGAAATCAAGATTCCTTAGGTCTATGGAAGAACAAATAAAAATTGCTCAGATATCTAGATATAGATATTTATAGACACACACACATGATAGGGGGAGAGGCACACACACACACAGACAGAGAGGGAGAAAGAGAGAGAGAGAGAGAGAGAGAGAGAGAGAGAGAGAGAGAGAGAGAGATTCTTTACAGTTTCACCTTTTCCTGAATGTCACAATCTGAGCCACACAATTCGGAACCTTTTTGTACTGGCTTTCTCCTAGTAGTCTGAACTTCCCCCACATCTTTTTGTGGCTCAATAGCTCATTAGTTTACAGTACAAAACTCTTTCATTGTCTGGCTATACGAGTGTATTTACTCATTTCACAGATAATGAAACTTTGGGTTTTGCTTAAATTTTGTCAGTTATGAATGGGTAAGTTGAAAATTTAAATGTAAAAAACTCAGCTTATGGGTAGTTGTTTCTGTAAGTAGAAAGGAAGGTTTTTTTGTGCCTGGCTTTGACAGTACAGTTTACCATAGCAGGGAAGGGCTCACACTTCACAGTCAGGAACCACAGAGAGCTGAGTGTTGCATCTCTGCTGTTGGTCTCCATTTTCCCTTTTATGTAATCTGGGATCTTAGCATACAGGATAGTGCTGTCCCTTAATACATAGGATGGCACTATCCACACTCAGGCTGAGCCTTTTCTCCTTAGTGGAACCTCTTGACATACCCTGTCAGGCATGCCCAGGATTCTAGATTCTAAACCTAGGCGAACTGACAATTGAAATTAGTTGCATTATTTGTTCAATTTCTTGTTTTGTATTGGTATTTACAGTGTTTTTATTAAAAACTATTCAGAGCTGGGCATGCAGTTGTATTAACACACACATATATATTTTTTAGTGTTTATTTGTAATATAACTACAACACATAGAGTATATATCATAATTGTCAGTGAGAGGAAATAGATGTATTTACCAATAAACCTTCCTTCCTTCCTTCCTTCCTTCCTTCCTTCCTTCCTTCCTTCCTTCCATCTCCCTTCTTTCCTTCGTTCCTCCCTCCCTCCCTTTCTCCCTCCTTCCCTTCCTTTCTTCTCTTACAGAAATGTGATACGTACAAGCTAGTGATGGAGGTACGAGACATGGGAGGCCAGCCCTTCGGTCTCTTCACCACCGGAACAATCACAATATCACTGGAGGACGTGAATGACAACTTACCATATTTCACCCAAACTTCTGTGAGTAGACTTGTGTGCTTATTGAACTGAATTCCTTCATATTAAAAAAAATCTAGAAATTGGCAGCTTCCTGACATTTTGTTTGAAATACTAATCACTTAAAAACAAGTAAGAAACTTGTGGTTTGTAAGAAGAATAGCTGAAGTGCTCAAGTCTCTGATGTGATGAAGTGCCTTTGCTCTTGGCCACTGAAGAACACTTCTGTTATGATGTGTTCGATGTTTTCTTGGTTATTATTGTATGTTTGGGGAAATTTTTAGATGTTGAAGAGGCTTGCTCTCCAGTGTTCTGTGTATTTCAAGTTATGAAGCAGAAAAGACATCAGCTTTATACATTCTGCTGGGGTCAGAGTGAAGTCCTGCCCACAGCTCTTCCTGGGTCAGGCCTTAGCTAGCAAATTTTGTGAGACATATATATGATGAGATTGCCTAGGAGTGATTGTTTTTCTGACTTTTCATGAGTAACTTTGTACTTTTTCATGACTCTATACTGGAGTTTTAGTCAGAGAATAGGAAATCTCATATAGTGAGGGAGACTTGTCAAAGAGCCATTCATATTCTTAGATCCAATCCTTTTCATACATCTTGTCTTAGTAAAGTTTTAATTGTTGTGAAGAGACATCATGACCACAGCAACTCTTATGAAGGAAAACGTTTAATTGGGGCTGGCTTGTATTTCAGAGGTTTAGTCCGCTACTGTCATGGTGGGAAGCATGAAGGCACACAGGCAAACATGGCAAGAGAAAAGTAGCTGAGGGTTCTACATCATGATCCACAGCACCAGAAATAGCAGTTAGTCACTAGACCTGGATTGAACTTCTGAAACCTCAAAGCCCACCCCCAGTGACACACTTTCTCCAAAAGGCCACACTTTCTAATAGTGACCCTCCCTATAGGTCTATAGGAGCCATTTTTATTCAAACCACTACACATCTCTTGCAGATCATAATTTATTCTTTTAGTCTTTTAACATCTTATGCTTCTGTTTTTTATTTTAAAGAGTAATGTCTAAGATTTAATTTCTCAAGAAAAGAGAAAACTTTTCTCTTAAAATGTTTGCTTGTGAATCAAAGTAAATGAAACGGGATTACTGTGAAAGTCAATAATTCTGAGCTGCTGCCATAGCTCAGTTGTCAAGCACTTGTCTTACATCTTGAGGCCCCAGGTTCAATCCACAATAGTGTGAGAAAAAAAAACCAACAACGAACAAGCAATATATGTTCTCACTATAAGTATTATATGATTGCTACATTAGTATAATTTAACTAGTGTTTGCTATCTCTAAAGGGGAGGGTAGGGTGTAAATACGATACAGGGTCAGAAAAGAGACAAATCTGAGGTTGAAAGAGAGCAGGAAAATCACCTCACAGAACTTTAGCAGTTAAGAGATGAGTCATCTTTGATGAATGGAAGGTATTTGAAAACAGGATAAGAAAGAAAGAAGTTAGCTGGGCATTAAACTTTATAAATTATTTTCCAAATTATGAGCATCTATTACTCCATATTACATTCTTTAAATAGAATTTTAGCTATAAAGATGTCATTATACTTAAAAAGGTATTTTCCTCCTCAGTATACTACAGAAGTAGAAGAAAACAGAATTGATGTTGAGATTCTGAGAATGAAGGTGCAAGACCAAGACTTGCCCAACACCCCCCACTCGAAGGCCATATACAAAATCCTACAAGGGAATGAAAACGGGAACTTCAAAATCACAACAGATCCGAACACAAATGAAGGGGTCTTGTGTGTTGTCAAGGTATGTAAAATTGCAAAGCTATTCTTTACAGCATTCAATCACATGCTTTGACATTGGTACAAAAATGATTGCTGTCTATAAATCCTTCTCCAAGGAGTTACAGGTAGTTAAAGGACACGTGGGGAGGGGAGTCATTTGTCAGTGGTGTAGCCACTCTGTCAATAAATAAGCCTAGGAAGAAGACTTGAGAAAGAAAGGAATTTTTTTGGAGTGGTGATGGGATAAAAGAATATAATGAAAGTTTTGTATATTTGATGTATAATGAATACATTAAAATTAATACTTCATATATATGAAGACTATATATATAAACATATGTTATATATATATGGATATATATACACACACACACACACACACACACACATATATATATATATATACATATATACATATGCATATGTATATATATATATATATATATCAGTGTAGAATTGTGATGTAATGATTGACAGTGGTTTACACAAACCCTTTTCTAGTATTTCACTCTTCCTAAGCAGAAACTTGTATTAGACACACACTTCAGTCCTCTGTATGTGAGGATAACAAAGGCAGAGGAATGTTGAATCTGACAGTGGCCTTGGCGGGCAGCACTGAATGTGGACTCCCTGGCTCCTCTCTGAATTACTGAGCCCTTGTCTTGATGTCTTTTTCCTTTAATTCCTCAGGAGTGGTTAAAAGCTTTCGGAATAAGTTATTTTTCTGATAAGATTCTTGTAAAATGTTTTTTATTTTTGCACTGCTTATTCTTTCTTTTCCCCTTTTGCTGGTCTTCTGTATTTCTTTCCTTCATCTTTTCCTTTAAATTTAACTTGTTTCAGGAGTCTTACTGGGATTAGATACAATCATACTGCATTCTAATCAGTATTTAAAGTTATAATAACAAGATAAAGGTGAGATCTTCAAAGTAAAAAAAGTAGGAAGGAAAATGTTCATCTCTTAAAAATTGATGATTTTAACCATTTTAAGAAGATAATTGATTATTTTTTTGGTTAGCAACAGCTTTGGGGAACATTTTGAAACTAAGAATTGCATTCCTTGTCTATTCAGTCTTGGAATCATTAGTGTCCTGTATAGAAATATGGGGACTGATCAGTGTATGTTTATTAAACAGGCACTGAACTATGAAGTCAGCCGCCAAGTCACTTTGCAAATCGGCGTCCTTAACGAAGCTCAGTTCACTCATGCTGCCAACGCACAACCCTCAACAATGTGCACCACAACTGTTACTGTGAAAATTAAAGACAGCGATGAGGGCCCTGAGTGCCAGCCCCCAGTCAAAGTCATTCAGAGCAAAGATGGACTACCAGCTGGCCAAGAGCTCCTGGGCTACAAAGCGATGGACCCAGAGACAAGCAGTGGGGAAGGCTTAAGGTAACGCACTTCCCTGAAAATTCCCTCGTCTTCCCCGGAGCATCAACTTATTTCAAATTTAGGAATGGTCTGTGTGTCTTCACTTTGGTAATTTGATGTCTGCTTTCTGAAAACCTAGGTATAAGAAGGTAGGAGATGAAGATAACTGGTTTGAGATTAACGAAAGCACCGGAGATTTGACAACCATGAAAGTACTAGACAGAGAGTCAAAGTTTGTGAAAAACAACCAGTACAATATTTCAGTAGTGGCGATGGATACAGGTGAGTGCCATTTTCTAAAATTAAAACGTGAATATGGAAGGTGTCTGTGTCTATGTCAAATTTTATTTCAGATACTGTTTCCTCTAAGGTACTAATAATCTACAACGCAAACCAGTGTGTTCAGTACGATGGCTTATTTCACTCAAATCACCCAATCAGTCCTGTGTCCACCCCTCGGGCAGAGCTGCAGGAAATTAAATGACCGAAGTCTAATTTTGAGTACTGGTTTACTTATTTCTGCTGAAGTATATCATTTAATTTCATAATGCCTTGTCTAGGTCCTTTTTTTGTTGTTGTGTAGTTGTCCTAGTGAGAGTCACTATCACCATGATGAAACACCATGACAAAAAACAAGTTGGGGAGGAAAGGACTTATTTCACTAACAGTTCTGTTTAATAGTTCATTATCAAAAGCAGTGAGGAAGGAACTCATACAGGGCAGGAACCCAGTGGTGAGAACAGATGCAGAGGCCATGAAGGAGTGTTGCCATGGAGGAGTGCTTGTTTGTCATGGCTTGCTCAGCCCTGCTTTCTTTCTTTCTCTCTTTCTTTCTTTCTTTCTTTCTTTCTTTCTTTCTTTCTTTCTTTCTTTCTCTCTCTCTCTCTCTCTCTCTCTCTCTCTCTCTCTCTCCTTCCTTCCTTCCTTCCTTCCTTTCTTTCTTTCTTTTTTTATTGGATATTTTATTTACAGTTCAGATGTTATCCCCTTACCCCATTCCCCCTCCCCCCCCAGGAATCCCCTATCCCATCGCTCCTTCTCCTTTTTCTCTGTGGATGTGCCCCTACCTACCCCCCTACTCCCACCTCCCCACCCTCGAATTCCCCCACACATGGCGTCCAGCCTTCATGGGACCAAGGATCTCCTCTCCCACCTATGCCCGACAGGGCCATCCTTCCCTACATATACAGCTGGAGCCATGGATCCCTCCCTAAGTGCTCTCAGGCTGGCAGTTTAGACCCTGGGAGCTCTGGTTGGTTGGTATTGTTGCTCTTCTCATGGGGCTGCAAACCCTTTCAGCTCCTTCAGCCTTCACTCTAACTCCTCCATTGGAAACCCCTTGATCAGTTCAATGGTTAGCTGTGAGCATCTGCCTCTGAATATGTTAAACTCTGGCAGACTTCTAAGCACACAGCAGAAGCTGGAAAGAACCCAGATGTCCTTCAACAGAGGAATGGATAAAAAAATGTGGTACATTTACACAATGGAGTATTACTCAGCTATTAAAAACAATGAATTTGAGAAATTTTTAGGTAAATGGATGGAACTATAAAATATCCTCAGTGAGGTAACCCAATCACAAAAGAACACACATGGTATTCACTCACTGATTATTGGATATTAGCCCAGAACCTTGAAATACCCAAGACACAACTCATAGATCACATGAAGCTCATGAAGAAAGAAGACGAAGTCCTTCTTAGAAGAAGTAACAAAATACTCCAAGGAGCAAATATGGAGACAAAGTGTGGGACAGAAACTGAAGGAGGGGCCATCTGCAGACCATTCCGCCTGGGTATCCATCCTATGTGTAGTCACCAAAGGTAGACACTGATGCGGATGCCAGGAAGTGCATGCTGATAGGAGCCTGCTTTCTTATAAACCCAGGACCACCAGCCCAGGGATGGCTCCACTTCCTTCCCATGGGCCAGGTCCTCCCACAAAAATCACTAATTAAGAAACTGTTCTACAGGCTTGTTTACAGCCCAGACTTATAGAGACATTTTCTGAACTGGAGTTCCCTCTTCTCAGATGACTCTAGCTTGTGCCAAGTTGATATAAAACTAGCCAGGACACTTACCTTACAGGTCTTTTCTTATGTATGGGTTTTGGTTTCCTGTTTTTATAAGATTTTCATGTGTGCAAATATACTACTATGCAACATATTATATAAATCTAGGGCATATAAATAAATGAAAGAAAAGTTAAAATGAATAATAAAATATAGCCAGAAATTATACTTTGATTATGTACTTACCCATGTAAGACAACTCCTCATAAAGATAAAAAAGAAAATCATCTTGGATTTTCAGACAGAACTAAATCTTTTGCCTGTTTGATTAGCTCAAGAAGGTTTCTGAGTTTTTTAGATACACAAGCTGAGCATGTAAAATGTATTGCCAGACAGTAACATAGGCTATTTCTATTAATTTGTTCAAATTAATAATATACAATGATTCCCCAGATATTATTGGCTATATAGCCTATTTTAGATACAATGTTTATTTTAAAAAATCTATAAAAGTATGTGTTCACATGTGTGCATGTATAGGTGTGTGTATATGAGTGCAGGTGACAAAAGAGGCGATAGATTTTGGCTCTCCAAGGAAATGGAGTTGCGGGTGGTATGAGCCACTTGATCTATATGCTGGGACTTGAACTCAGATCCTCTGGAAGAGAAGTACATGCTCTTCACCACTGAGGCATCTCTCTGGTCCTTTTGCTGGTTTTAAAGTAAGAGCTGTAGCTACTGAAAGAGAGACAAAAGGTTAACTAATGAAGATACTAGCTGCTTCCTGTTAATGTAGACAAGGCAAGCTGACTCAGCCCACTCTGCCCATTAAGGCTTTTCCCATCTCTCAGTCCTGCTGCCTTTGGGATGGAAATAGCAGGTTACATTTCCTCTTCAGGACCATGGAAACTGGGAGTCATGAGGTGCGGTTTGGTCCTTCTACTAATGAAAGCTTTACTGCTTTATATTCTAAGCATTAAAGAACCCTCATCTCAGATAAAATAAACTAGCTTTCAAAATTGGAGCTCCCTCTTAATTTGAATGTCATTATGTAAACTACCTACATATTACCTTTCTCATTGATCCACACCTCAAACATACATTTCTTTTATAGGATTACTTTACTATAAGTTCCAAAACTCTGCAGAATAAGAGGTCGGGGATATTAGCTGAGAAACATATTGACTTAATATACTTTACAATTCTAGGTGATGTGGGTTTTTTTTTTAAGTTTGCTATTCCTATAAGTAAAAATGAAGTCTAAATGGCTTACACATATAATTATGATGTGAAACATGGCTCTCTATCTACTTCCTTTCAGATGTTTAAATTCCAAGTACAGGACCATAGAAACTAGGAGACATGAGATAAGGATGTGTTCCTTCTAATAATGAAAGCTTTACTGCTTTATATTCTAAGAAGAGAGGATATGGTATAAAATTTTTACCAGTAGAGAATGTTTAGATGTCTCTATACATTGAGAGAGTTCAGAGGCTTTCAGGGTAAAGCAGGGGAAGAGTTCAGAAATCCTGGCACTAGATAAAAAGAAAATAAATTCTTATTTAGAGAGGAGGAAAATAACTGAGAGCAAAATATAAGAAATTAACTTTGTTGCTTAGTACTGAAAGATACTGGAGTTAAGCATGGTAGGGTCAGTGAAAAAGAGCAAAGCTTACTCAAAACAACATCCCAGAGTTTATATAACCTAGATGTGCCAGAGAAAAGACAAGGATTCGACAAACATTAGTGACAAAGTTGTATGGTAATGACATGTATTCATACATACACACACACACACACACATATATAATATATATTATATATATATATATATATATATATATATATATACACACAAGTATATATAAATATACTTGTTTTGATCCTCAAAGGTATTCCTAAATGATAATTTAGGAGGTCCTAATGACTGCTTAGAATCCAGCTTATATCCTTATATTTTTGTGTGTGTGTCATTCTTGTCTGTGAGGCTAATCTCTTTGTCTGTGTGTCTCAAGGATACTGTTTTATACACCTTACTCCTAGAACATGAGAATAGCAGTGCTTCCCAGCCCTGCTCTGAAGCTCATATCCCTTAAATTATTCAAACTAATAGTACTGACAGCTTCTGTATTGTTCTCTGTTAGCCTTTGTTTGATTCATAATACTGCAATTTAAGCATTATTATATACTGAAAACAATATGATGATTATCCCATTTGCTGTATTGTTACTCTGAAAGTGTGCCTTCACTTTTTCTCCTTTATATTTTTTTCTTCTAAATTGGTTAAGAGCTCAAATTTCCTCTACCCCCATCCTACCACCTCTCTGGTAAACTGTCCCTTTATCAAGCATGAAGATGAGAATTTGGTACATATCTGTTTAAGGCAGATTTTAAAAAATGATGTGTGTGTGTGTGTGTGTGTGTGTGTGTGTATGTGTGTGTGTATGTGTGTGTGTATGTGTGTGTGTGCCTGTGTGAATGATCTTTAGAAAGGTAGAAGAAGGCATTGGATCCCCTGGAGTTTCAAGTTACAGACAGAGCCGGGCTGATCTAAGGCTTTAGTAGAGCCCCTGTCTATAAGACCCTTACGTCTTTCTTTTTTTAAGACTTATTTATTTTATGTCAGTGCCACTGTCTTCAGATACACTAGAAGAGAGCATCGGGTCCCATTACAGATGGTTGTGAGCCATCATGTGGTTGCTGGGAATTGAACTCAGGACCTCTGGAAGACTAGTCAGTGCTTTTAACCACTGAGCCATCTCTCCAGCTCAGAATCTTACTTCTTAATAAACTTGCTTGTCATAACACTTTGCTTATGCGATAACTACTGACCTCAGCTTTCCTATCTCCTCTAACTTCTCTCCTGGTCTTCTCCTTAAGGACCCTTTCACTAAAGAATGACCCATTTGTCCATGTCACCTGACATGAATGTTAGTATCTAAACTGTGCTCCTGGGCAAGAGTAGCAGCAAGTACTTTTCCCGAGTAAGTCCCATCTGATGTGTCATGGTTAGACTTGTTGTTCCTCTGAGTTTGAGAAGCACATATACCTCCAGGTTCAGGCTGTGAAATGAGCTACTGAGGATTTTACAGCTTTGAGGTGTACTTGGTACTTGCAGCAGCTGAGTTCAAACTTTATAAACTACATTCTTAGTTTTAGCTTCTGCAAAGTCTTAGAATTATTACTGAGTAGCTATCATATCAAAGTGGTAAGCATTTTCTTATTTGATTCCAAAAGTCACACATATAATCTTGGGGGCTAATGGGCATACCACAACTTGAGATTAAACAATGTTAGAAATATTTCTAATAATAAAAAGCTCTATTCATTTAGGTCTGACTTATAATATAGTGAGTTTGGGGATATGGAAAACAGAATAATGACAACTACTGACTTCAGAAGCTCTTTCTAGAAATGCTATGGATTTAGATTTTAGTTTGAGCATGTACTTCTTAGTTCTGTGGCTGGTATTCACCACTCACTGACACTTATGAATCAACCAAACAGGTAATTTAAAGTAAGCTGTTGAACTCGACAAATGAATGGAGCTGCCTCTTCATGATGTTCCACCATTTCCTGTAAATGGAAAAATCACCCTTTGGTGTCTTGGAAAATTTTCTAAGAGTTTATTTTCAACTCCGTTTTGACTAATAAACTTCCAAGTAATGTCAAGCATCTCCTGCTCTATTTATCAGCATGTTTCAAACAGAGAATCTTATAGGAAAAACATTAAATGATAAATATTGGTTAAATGTAGGTTTAACTGAATCTCAATTTCCTTTGCTATCAGAGTGACCTATTTTTATTTATCCTAGTTGGCCGATCTTGCACAGGAACATTGGTAGTTCTTCTGGAAGATTTTAATGATCATCCACCACAGATTGACAAGGACGTGACCATTTGTCAGCAGGAGAAAGATTATGCTATTTTGGAACCTATAGATCTAGATGGGCCAGATAACGGTCCACCTTTTCAGTTCTTTCTGGATAACTCTTCCAACAAACACTGGACTCTAGAATCACAGGATGGTAAGTATTTATGCTAAAGAGTGTAAATAATCCCAGCTCAATATTGCTGAAGTCCTGTGCTTTTATCTTGGTTAGTCATAAGAAATACATATGCACTGTAGAAAGTTATTCATCTTGGAAAAATAATAATGCTTTAATATCTATTTTCTGTTTGTCATCTATCATCTATCTATCATATGTCTATAATTTTTATATATATATATAATTTATAAATATTATATATATCATTTATTTGTTTTGCAATTATTTAGTATCTATCAATTATCAATTGACAAGGATGTGACTAATTGTCAACACAGGTAGATAAAATTATCTACCTATGCATGCATGTTGTCTATCTGTATACCAATAATTTATCATATATATATATATATATATATATATATATATATATATATATATATTACACTTAGAGCTTTTGCTCTGAGCATCCTTTAAGAAAATGCACACACACACACACACACACACACACACAAACACACACATTTATATATTAGACTTAGATTTTTGCTCTGAACATCCTTTAAGAAAACACAGAAACCAATTTTAAATCACAGGAATAACATTTTGACTATAGATAAGTCTTTCTTTGTTTGTTTCTTGTTTTTTTGATTTTTTTTTTTTGAGACGTGGTCTCTCTCTACATAGCCTTAGCTTTCCTGGAACTAACTATCTAAACAGAGTGGGCCTCAGATTCACAAGAGACCTATCTGTCTATTCCTTCAGAATTCAGGGTTTAAAGGCATGCAGTGCCATGCTCAGCTTGGAGATCAGTCTACCTTTAATTTAAAATAATGTCAACCCTTTCCCTACTTTTCTAAAACATTAAATCATTTTTAAGAAAGAAAATGAACCATTAGAGTTTTTATTGGAGATTAATTCCTTGAATGTACACCAAGGAAGGACAATGTTGTTGTTGAAATGTTGTATTAATACATACTCTATCTACTCTCTTTCTTTTAGGTCAACGTGCCATTCTTCGTCAACGACACAATCTTAATTATAACTATTATTCTGTGCCAATCCAAATACAAGACAGGCATGGTTTTTCTGCAAAACATGTATTATCAGTGAGAGTGTGTGACTGTACAGTTCCATCAGAATGTAGAATGGGTGTTGAGGAGAGAGATGTTAAACCAAATGTAATCCTTGGGAAATGGGCCATTCTCGCCATGGTCCTGGGATCTGCATTGCTGCTGTGTAAGTATCATTATCTAAAGTGTTGTGGGATATTTATGTGTTAATTTTCTGGAGTAAACAACTTTTACAGAGAAATTTGTTTTACTTCAGTTTCAGAGGTCTCAGCCCATAACTACAAAGCTCAGTTGTATTGTGTCCAATGACCAGTAGTGTGTAACTAAGCAACCTACTTATCTTATGGCAGTTAGAAACCAAAATGAAAGAAAGAAGGAAGAGGTTAGTGTTGTCCCCAGTGATGCAACTTTTTTCTATTAAGGCCCACCCTTTGATGACCCCACCACCTCTCAACAGCGCTCTGAGGTAGGGATCAAAACTTTAACACATGGACCACCTGGGACAATTTATCTCAGCTATGATAGTCTAGAAAAATATACTACAGTTCTTTGTTTTAAGGACATGTGTAACTGTTGGTATATGAGGCTTTAAAAATATCTTGTACCTCTTCTGTAAGTGGGAATCTGAGTTATAGAAGAAATAGCACTAACAGCAGATTAAAACTTTTTAGGTAAGTTTTAGAGGTCATGTTTAATTCCTCAGAAGTTAATCTTGAGACAGTGAAGATTTCTGAAAAGATGTACAGACATTTTAAAAAATATTATTTTCAGTTTTTTGGTTCTTAAAACTTTTGTTTATTGTCAAATTATTTTAATATGTTCAGAATGTGAAAAATTATTTTACTTTGCTTTCTAATTTTTCCTGTAGGCATTTTGTTTACATGCTTCTGTGTGACTACTACGAAGAGAACAGTCAAGAAATGCTTCCCTGATGATGTAGCCCAGCAAAATTTAATTGTATCAAATACTGAAGGACCAGGAGAAGAAGTGACGGTAATTCAGAATTAAAGTCCCACTGAATTACATAGTGGCCCAATGAACATAATTGATTACTCCATAGTAATAGTAAAACCTAATAATTATTGACCTATACTGTACCAAGCAGAAATTGAAGTTCCCTGAACATTTTAATTTATTGTCCATTTGAATTGGCTTTAAGGAGCAACTCAAACAATAAAAACACATGTTCTCACCATTTTATAGGCTAGATAAGATCAGATACCATATTTCCCTTGAAGGCCCTGAGGAGGGATAGCTCTTTTCAGTTTTTGTCCCTTGGATTTTGGCCACATAAAGAGATTTTCATGGTATTGTTTCTCTGTATGTCTAACAATCTAAATTTTCCTTTTTGTAAGAACTTGGTAATATTAGATGAGAGACTAACTTCTTTGAGACATACATGATTGCATCTGATCCCATGGTTAGGACCTCAACGTATGAATTCCTAGGATGCAGAGTTAGGCCCAGAATATCTATGATACGATTCTTAACATTATTCTAATTTTATATGTGAAGAAGAGAGGAACAACAAGTGACTTGTCTGTGGTAAGAAAGAGTTGGTTTCTATGCCATTGATTCATTTTTTAATTCTATCTTTAGGAGGCAAATATTAGACTCCCCACACAGACAACGAATATCTGTGATACAAGCACATCTGTTGGGACCCTTGGTGGCCAAGGAATCAAAACACAGCAAAGTTTTGAGATGGTCAAAGGAGGCTACACCATGGAGTCCAACAAAGGAGGTGGCCACCATACCTTGGAGTCCAGCAAGGGAGGTGTGCTAGGAGCAGCAGACACTGGCCGATATGCTTACACAGACTGGCACACTTTCACTCAACCTCGGCTTGGCGAAGTAAGTGCCTAAGTCTTCAAATGCCCACTATGTGCAATGCTAACATGGTTTATAAACCAGATTTTCCCAAAGTATCCCTCATACATCTGGATCACACCTTTTCATCTCCTGTACAAGGATAGACACTGATATAAGGAACACATTCAAAGTTTAATTAAAAAATATGATTTGCAAGACTTTAGGACTAGTTTATGTGTATGTCTTTGGGATATTAAAAGACTGATGTCTTTTTCACTAAATATCATCAGAAAAAAACATCTTCAGTGAAGAATTAGCTATAGTATAATGAACAGATCATAAATTGCCACTATGTTGTCAGTGTGCTATAGTTCTACATGTAGTTATGAAATCTTGCCTACCTCAATCAACCAAGATAGACAGGTAAGCTTTAATCTTAGGTTCCACTCTGTATGTTTTCCTTGTTTGTTTCAAGTTGCTCAGGATGATGTGAGTAAAATGTTAGATAATTACAGCTATATAACACGAATATATTATGCATGTTATATACAACAATGTATTAGACCCTCATGACTATTTACCGTATAAATGCAAGAATCACAGCCTACAGTGGTTCTCCCCCACATATACAAAGAAGCCATTGAGATAAATTGCAACTAAATACACCTTATTTATATCCAAGTGAGACGTTGTAAGTTATTTATGTGATACATGCATAGCCTTAGTTCTGATAAATATGTTCACTATGAGCATTTATTTATTTGCTATATTTTAAGAATGAATATAATATAGACCAATCATGTGCATTTTTTATATGTAGGAATCCATTAGAGGACACACTCTGATTAAAAATTAAACAATAAAAGGTAAATCCAAGATATCATTTTTATGCTAGTCTGTTTAGGTGTCTTTTAAAAGTCATAATAAACTGTGCTCTTTCTCCATACAGAAGGTGTATTTGTGTGGGCAAGCTGAGGAACACAAGCATGGTGAAGACTACGTTCGCTCATATAACTATGAAGGCAAAGGCTCCATGGCTGGCTCTGTGGGCTGCTGCAGTGATCGGCAGGAGGAAGAAGGGCTAGAGTTTTTAGATCACTTGGAACCGAAATTTAGGACATTAGCAAAGACATGTGTGAAGAAATAAAGGTGCTGGTTAATAGAGCGACATTTGCAAATGATTACAGAGGTGTCACTGGATATAGGAGGATAGCAGCTTGTAGAAGCAACTTTGGGTATTAGAAGAAGGTAAAGTCATTTGTAGATAAGGATGCTTTACCAACCATAGATCCTTAAATTCTTCTTGTCTCCAGAACCTTCTGTTGTCTAGACAGGATGTTGTCACTGTTGCTTTTCTTTCTGTGCGTGTCTACATTGCCCCTTCAGAACTGAACTGCATGTGCCACTGATACTCTGGTGATGTTTGGAACTTAAGCTCTTTTGCACGCTATGCAAGGCTCGTTGATGGAGTTGGGTATTGTGGAAGCTTAAAATATGAGTTTGCATTGTGTATATACAAATTAAATATTTTTCAAGGTCATGAGAAGAATTCTGCTTCTAAAATATTTCCTTTAGTGCCAAGATATTGTTTTCCCTTTTCCAGAGTAGCTTCAGATGAATTTTTGAGTATTTTTAAGTATAGCCTTTTGTGTGCCTAAACAAGTTCTATTCTCAGTGTACATTTCCCTCATTAGGAGAGCACAATCTTCATTCAGAAACCTTCAAAGCTTAGTACTTGGATCTCTGCCCATGTGGCTGTGTTATCATTGAGATCTTGGAGCTTCTGTCTGAATGATGTGGGTCAGAACATCAAGCTCACAGAACCTAGAGCTGCAGAGATTTGTCAAGAATTCCATAAAAATACTACAATTTTGATCTCTATAGCCTAGCTTAGTCTTAAAGATGTTATATACATACATACATACATACATACATACATACATACATACATACACACAAACAAATATATATATGTTGCTGGTCAAATTTAATGTGGTATTACCACATTTATATGTACTAAAAATATTAAAATTCATATAAATACTTTGAGAGGTCTGTTAGCTCTTTAACTTGATACTGATCTACTATTTTAGTGGCTTTCAACTGGTCTCTGTCTTCAAGCCTTTTTGCAACTATCCATACAAGCATCAAGCTGTAACTCTGATACTCATGTGTCAATACTGAGTTAATGTTGATATTGGGACATAATACTTAGTTTATCTTGGTAATTACTCAAAAGAAAAAAACCTGGAAGGCTAGAAATAATTTTAAGTAGGAAGCATTAAGATTATTAGTCCATTATAGCAACACCTACCAAGTCTTATTGAATTAATAGATATTTAGCATGAATGAATAAATGAGGTATAACATTTTAGTAATATATTGTTTTATTGATCTATAAAGAAAAACTACTTATTTAAATGATATTTTATTAGTCCTTTGTGGGAAACTACAGATATGTGTCAAGTTACATCTCATGAAAACCTTACATCTAAACTAAACTTACCCTTTTACTCCATTACTTTCTATCTATTGGCAGAAATAGATTTCTGTTTCACTTAGGTTTTGTAACTACTCTTATTGTTCTCCATTAGGAAAGGTGCTTTTCATTGTGAAATCAGATATTGGAATAAAATGAAATATAGCATTAGTAAGGCAGATATGATCTTGTAAATTCCCCATAATGTGTGATTTTTACAGTCACTGTAAGATGATTTGGGGGTGATGTAATTTTTACTTTTTGAGGTAAATGTCACTCTGACAATGTGAATTTTGACATTTTAGGATCTAATAGTACCAATTTGAAAATGCATTAAATCTCATAATAAGTTATATTATTCAATGTAGTTATAGAATATTCTATGAGCAGTTGCAAATTATTAGCCTAACAATCACTTATATGTTGTTTGTGTCATCTTGCTCTTATATTTACTGAAATATAGATGAGAAAATTTGTATCTAAATTAAACAGTACAATTTATATCCACAGATGGATTTCTTATGCATCAAGAGAAGGCTCTCTAAAGTATTAGAGTTATTAGAAAGTACGGGAAATGGATTTGTATTAAGCAGTTTTAGCTATTTACAATATTTTCAAAACATTATTAAAACTTTTCTCAGAGGAATTAATTATATTTATTGTTGGATTTATTTAGGCAACTCCTAGTAATTCTCATTTTGCATCAAAAAATAAATATTAACTGTATGATAAACTAAATGTATGAAACCCTACCAGACTGCACAATTTAGTTTGCTAATAAAATACTATATTTCATACAAACTTTGACTTAATTAATTGTTGATTTAATAAATAAATAGTTATGAAATGTTTTATATATCTTAACATATATGGGGGACCATACAACTAGCTTTTATCTTTTTGATATTGGCTTCAAATATTTCATAAGAGGGAGAAAAAACTCCCCATGGGAAGATCAGGAGAGATGAAATGATGGATCCCTAAGAGCATAGTTCCTCAAATACTCTCTATCATACCAAATGTTAATTCTCAATGTTTAAAAATATTGCAAAAACTTGAAACCTGTTTGTACATTTACTTTGTAGAGATGTCATTTGGGAAAAAAATCAAAACAGGTGTTTTAGAGTTGAGGAATTCTAATTCCCTTTTTGTAGTACGTTTGTCGTAAAAGTGCTGTGCTGTTTGAAATCTGAAACGGAATGATAGCCATGGAATAGGCTGTATTATGGCATTGACCCATCTTATTATCTGCTTCTCTTATAAATCTACAGTAACACGGTACATGACCAGACACTGTCTTTGTGAGAGGAATGGAAAAAATACAGAAAGAGAAAGCTTTCTAAGAACAGATAGAGTCAAATAAATAGTGTGAAGATCCCAATAAAATAAGTGAAAATGCAATAAAGACTTTCTGGAATAGATGCTATCTGCATAAAGATAAAAACCATGCTGTATTACCTCAGTTCCTTTTAATGAACAGCAATAGCTATTTGAAGATGTGTGTGTGTGTGTGTGTGTGTGTGTGTGTGTGCATGCATCAGTATGAAAACCCCCTAAACTGGCTCTCAGATTTCTGATGTATTCATAATGTATGTTATATGAAGATAAATTGTTGAAAATCTGCATTCCTTGTTACTAATGACTAGGAATAAGGTACCTTTTGATAAACAATCTACAGAGTTACGAGTCATCTATCTACTGACTTAGCAATAGAGGAAGCAAAAACATGCATGTACTTTTGATCAACATTGGGCATGAGAATATGTACACATAGAATTTGAAATTTATGTTTAGTTGTCAATATCCAACCATGACTATCTAGAATGAGGGAATTTTATTTCTGATATTTAGAAACTTTAATCCACATACCATGACACTATTAATTCCAAAAATAAATTTCAAGGCTACAGTTGAGGTATGAAGGATTTTACCTGAAATTCAGGTAGAATTACTTTCTGCCTGTTTAATTTTAGGCAACGTTAGAGAAGCTGCAACCCAAAATAGGAAAGAATGAAGAGGTGCAACTCAGGGACAAATCATCTCACATGTGTCAACAGATAGGTTTCATCCCCAGGACTCCAATGCAAAAGACAACCCAGAGTAGAAACAGAAGGTTTTCTTTCTTTGACATTGCCTCCCAGAGAATGCTTGGAGACCAGAAAATGGCTACATAGCTCTGAGTTTCCACTAAAAGGTAAGTCTTTGAAGACATTCCATACATGGTAGCTCTTCTATACCAGGGATGGAAATGGCTTGTATGTGATCATTTCTCTCATTGCTTGTCCAGGAGAGCAGGATCAACAGCATAACCTAGGAAATTATTTAAAGTGCAAATTTTTTGAGAACTGAATGTATTACACAGGAGTGTTGAGGTTTTGTCTTTTATTGTCTATTGTAACACTAAATGCAGGCCCTCAAGACCTGAAGTCTGCACATAGCCCCTGTGACTCTGCCACCAAGTTAATTCTGATTAGTGAATAAAGATGCTGGCAGCCAATTGCTGGACAGGTGGGGTTTAGGTTTCCAGGACTTGGAACCATGAAAAAGAAGGACAGGAAAAGGAGGAGGAGGAAGAGGAAGAGGAAGAGGAGGAGGAGGAGGAAGAAGAAGAAGAGAAGGAGAAGAAGAAGAAGAAGAAGAAGAAGAAGAAAAAGAAGAAGAAGAAGAAGAAGAAGAAGAAGAAGAAGAAGAAGAAGAAGGTGGTGGTGGTGCAAGAGAGAAGAAAGGAGAAACACCATGGATTAAAAAATCCATAAAATCGTGGCCCTGAGGGCTGCCCAATAGGAGTTAACAGCAACCCAAACAGAACACAGAAAATAGTAAGTAATAACTGGAGTTATTGGTAGAAAAGTAAATTCTAACAGCGTGGACAGTAGGCAGCTGCCTAGCTATTGTGCTGCTTAAGGCTTATTGTAAATATAAAGGGTATGTGTGTGTTTCATCCATGAACTCAGTGATCAAAGTGGGGTAGAAGCCCTAGGTCAGCATTTTAAATAATTTACTACTACACAGGAGGCTCCGAGCTGGGATGTGGCCCTCAGGTTTCTCACATAGTCAACCTCAGGACTCTGGTGCGTCGGTCCTTTGGCTACCCTTCATTTCAACTCTCTGCTTGTGCTTTCATCCTCAGTGTCCTGTGGTCTCAGAAATGAGGACATCACCTGACAGCCTATCAGGATAGAGATGTCTCAGACCCCATGTCTGCCCTATTGAGCTAGAATCTGCATTTAGGAAGAGTGCCAGATGTACATGCACACAAGACTTTGATAAAGTCCATGTAAATGATTGAGTGAGAGGAAAGACAGAACCTGCTGCAAGTAAACAAAGCCATTAGCTGAGTAGAGTGAACAGGGCCGGTTGCATAGAGCAGGAGGCCCAAGGCAAGTTATCCTCATGGAGTTGGCGACCCACGTTCAAAACCATCTCCCATCACTTGCAAAGTATCAGCCTCTCCTGTCTGTTGTGGACAACTGACTTTATGAACACTTTGTAACTTCATAAGACCGTATTCTGTAAGGGAGATAGGGACAGAAAATATACACAAAATTTAAGAAGGGATATTTCATTAACACTTAATACATTTGATTTTCCCACTCAAAGTGAAGAAAAATCACATTTAGCAAAATTACATTTTGATGTGTAGTGTGAGAATGTCTGGGAGAGTGTGAATGTTTGTGTAAGAATGTGTGTATGTGTGAATATGAGTGTGTGAGTATATATGAATGTATATGTCTGAGTGTATATGATTTGATGTACATTTTGATCAGGCGTATGAAAACAATTTATACATGATTTCCTCTGCTAACCAATGCTTGAAGGTGTTGCTGTAATGGTGTTGATGAACAGGTGTGGCTTGCTGGGCCATCTTCCTGGGCTGGCTCTCTCTTTTGCACAGCTAGCTTGTCATTGTGCTTGCTTTTGAAGTTTTACTTTTTGGGGGCATGGCTGATACAGAATTCATAGGTGTGTCTAAGATATTGACAAAGCCTGTCTTTTGTGTCAAGTTAATCACATTCTGTCAAGGTCACTCTTTTTTTCCAGGCAGGGAAACCATGCAGAAAAACAATGAGACAAAGCCTACGAGGTTGACTTAGTTGGTAAAGCACTTGCTGCGCAAACTTGGAATCCTGAGTTCAAATCCCCAGTCCCCATCTAAAACTGGAAGCCTATACTCCTGTAGCATAGATGAAAGATGGAAAGGGAGAATTTCCACAAAACCCACGAGACCTGTCTCATACAAGGTAGCAAGGGAGGGACAAAACATGAGGTTGTCCTCTGACCTTCATATGTACGTACTAGTGTGTATATACATATTCACACACACGCACACACACACACACTCACGGTTGGTCATATGTACTTATTCATACACAGTCAAACACATGTACTCACACACTCAAGACATGCACTCATGCAAACTCACACGTGTACTTACACACAATCATGCTCACACACATATACACATATTCTCAAACACAATACCTTCATTAATACATTCCTATACACTCACACACCACACGTACATGCACTCATATATACACTCACAAACATATATTCACACACACACTCACACACACACACTTTCACACACAGTCACTCACACTCTTACACACTCACACCACATATATACACGCACTCACACACTCACTCAATACTCACACACTCACACACTAACACAATACTCATACACTCACACACTCACACAATACTCACACACTCTCATACATACTCTTACAGTCACACACCAGACACTCACACACACTTACATAATACACTCATAACTTTCACACACACACTCACACACACATACATACACACACAAAACCTCATACATACACACACACACACATTTTTATTTTCCTAATTGGTTATTTTATCTGTTTACATTTTAAATATTATCCCCCTTCCTGGTTTCCCCTCTGAAAATCCCTATCCTCTCTCACCTATCCCCTGCTTCTATGAGGGTGTTCCCCACCCACTCATCTACTCCCACCTCGCCACCCTAGGATCCCCATACACTGGGGGCATTGAGGCTTTGCAGGACCAAGGGCCTCCTCTCCCCTGGAGGCCAGATAAGACCATACTCTGCTACATAAGCATCGGGAGCCATGCATACTCTTTGGTTGGTAGTTTAGTCCCTGGGAGCTCTGGGTGGGGGGTGAGTCTGATTGGTTGATATTGTTCTTCTTATGGGGTTGCAAACTCCTTCAGCTTCTTCAGTCCTTCCCCTAACACTTCCACTGAGGTCCCCATGGTCAATCCGATGGTTGCCTGTGAGCATCCACATCTGTATTGACTCTGGCAAAGCCTCTCAGGGGACAGCCATACCAGGATCCTGTCAGCAAACACTTCTTGGCATCAGCAATAGTGTCTGGGTTTGGGCAGATGGAATGTATCCCCAGGTGGGTCAGTCTCTGGATGGCCTTTCCTTCAGTCTCTGCTCCACTCTGTCTCTGCATTTCCTTTAGAAAGGAACAATTCTGGGTTAATATTTTTGAGATGGGTAGGTGGTCCCATCCCTCAATCGGAAGCCATGCCCAACCTCTGGCTATGGACTATACAAATTCTCTCTCCCCTTTGTTAGATATTCTTATACATTCAACATACCACACACATTCACCCACATACCTGCACACATGCATACTCACACAGCACACAGTCACAGACACACACTTGCATTCACACACACCCATACAGACAAGTTTTCACATGCTAATTTAAAAATTTTGGAAACATTGAGAACCTGCTCTATAAAGAAGTTTGTCGTTAAGCCTGATAACTGAGATTCAGTCCCTGGGGCC